TTTAATATCATTACTATTACTAATATTATTATTGTTATTGTCATTAATATTTCAAAAAAGCCTAAAAAATATTAAACAATTTTGCCCTTCATCTCACGAATATGTGAAAAACTGAAATGACTTTCGCTAATGCCGAATGCATTTTATAACAGTTTTTCATTTCGTGGTAGTTCCAGAACCATGAATCATCATTTATCGTTTGAAAAAAATGTTTTATCTGAGATGAAAGAAAGTTCAAAATCAAACACAGTTTGAAATTTGATAGCTAACGCACTGGAGCATATGAAATCATTATATAATATACTCAAAAATGTTTGAATTATTGTTGATTTTTTTTTCATATGCAAAAAATATCATTTTATATTGCATAAAAATGGAAACAAAGTTGACTGATGATGTCTAATTCTGAAATTTCGAAATTATGAAATGAGAACAGTTTTAAATTGATTATAAATTAAAAAACTGATTAGTTTTTGTTGAATAATGATAAAAATAATTCATATTACTTTAGCAACTTGTCAAAAAGTTTTTTTGATTATTAAAAAAGACATCTTTGGCAGTAAAGGCACAATTATAAGAGAAAAATTAGGCACTTTAATGAATCACAGATAACAACAAAATAAAAAATATTCAGAAGAAACAGTTAGACAATGAATACCCGCAATTAATATCACGTTAAAATACATGACAAACAATATTCAGGTTAGGTGCCACAAAAAAATACATTAATATGTCAAGTCGTTAATTCATTTATAATTTAAAATAAAATGATCATACCCGAGACTCCTTCTCTAATTTGAAAGGTTAAACCAGTAAAGTTTACTAAAATTGACCTCTAATATGAATTGAGGATAATCATTTTAAATGTAAGATCAAAAGAATAAAAAAGGGAATTTTTTCAAAAATTTGCATGTAAATTTTTAATACATATTTACGAGACTTGTTAGAAATGCAAGAAAAACTGAAATATCTTAACTCGATTATTTAAGAATTTCAAAGTCAAATTACTTTTCATATTAACACTTAATAGCTGTCTTAACGGTGTTGAGTATTCTTTGATTTACACCTTGGCGAACTAAAGCTACAACCCGTCGGAAAACAAAAGGCACATCTGCAACATGGTATTAGGCACCTGGTCAATATGAAATAAATAGTAAGCAGTAAAATTATATAAACAACAACATCGGTAATCATCATAACAAAATTTGAAATTGATGAAATACCGTTAGCCCAATTGACAGGATTGAAATTGCTCAAAAAACCTCCCACTGTTAATTTATTGCACTCCGGACAGTGACCATCAATTTCTTTCCATGTATTTTCCAGCAAATTAATCTGTAACTAATTATTAATAAAATGCACTTTCTGACGTAAACTAAATAAGTTGTGTTAGTAAAAAGGAGAACTTCGTTTGTATGATTTTTATGATAAGCTAATAACTATCAATAATTATCGTTTGACTATCATCCAATTACCATCAATAATTATTAGCAAAAATGCAAATGATATAATGAGAGTTTACCTCAAGAGCAACTTCTTTAAACACAATAATCCGACAGATTTCTTCTTCACTCGAATTATCATTATCAGCATGAAGACAAATCATTCGATCTCCACCATCGATCAGTGCGGGAAGCGGTACAATAAGGGTTTTATTGGCACCTCGCACATCGCCAATGTAAGTTGTAAAACTAAAATTATTATCAATACATGCATATTAATTTCTAAACAAAATAATAATTTTCAAATAAAATTTTCTTTGCACATTGAACAGATATTACATCATATTATATCACTTTTTTTTCATTATTTTTAATTAAATAATATTGAAAACTTTCTCACATTCTTTTTTACTTTTTAAAATTTAATACTTTAAACTTTTTCATATTCTTTTTTATTCTCTAAAATTTGGCAATTTAAAAAGTGATGCATAAATAAATGATTGAAATTTTTACACATGCAATTTCGATTTTTTTATTTAATAGAAAAATTTTACTTTCATGGTTACTTTAAAATGAAAAAACCCACTGAAATTCATCAATGCTATTTTTATCTGCTGTCTTTTTCACTGTGCCATGTATAATACCGGTAGCATTGTATACAGTTAAATTAAAGAAACGGTTCGATTTGAAATCAACAATTACAGTACCCGAAAAATCATCCATTTTGGAAAAATCATGCACAAATGACAAACTGTATGTTTCTTCATGAAGCTAAAATTTAAATTTTTAATTCTTTAATTATGATAATTTTCAATTTTAAATATTATTTCTGGTATAGTAAAAATTTTTACAAAATTAAAAAATCAACATACCTGTAGTGCAACTTCTACATTGGTACCCTCAGAATGTGTCACCACAACATGACGTCTCGATCCATCAGTAACCCTGACCTTTTCTATCCATGGATAAATCCGTTCCACAGATGCTTCAAGTGCAAATCGTTCAGGATTCTGCAATACGTATTCACTTCATGCTTATTGTTTTAAATTGAATTCAAAGTTTTTTAAATTCTTAAATTCTGATGAATTAATTGAGCCGTATCTTCTTCACTTCACATTTGGACGTAATGGACAGTTTCAAATTTCAATGGAATTAAATAAATATATCTTTTTAAAATGACATGTGAATTATGCGCCAATTCAAAGCAATATTTTGAAGTAATGAAGAAATGGAAAATTTGCAAACCTCAGGATCATTAAAATCGACATAATGATGAGCATCAAGAAAACTCTGTGATTTTTGATCTTTACAATTTTCTACTTTCGCGAAATGCATCCGTTGTATTTTAACCTTCCCATTTCGTATAGTAAAATGTCCCAATGCATCCTTACGAAACCATCCTAATTTCTCAAAGCTATAAAGTAAGTAAGCATTCATATTTAATTAACAAAAAGGTAAAATTTAAATTGCCATAGTTATAGAGATGTTATCATTACTTAAAACTCACTTGTTCTCATTAATTTCATTAATTATTTGTTGTCGCAATTTATCCATTTCACCGTTTGAATTATTTGGTGCAAAATACATGCCACTTTCAAGCTGATGACTAGCTCGACCACCTGCACTTACACCTAACTCCAATCTTCGCCATCTAAATTATAATCGATAAAAATTTTAACTTTAATAATAATAAGTTTTCAAGTAATCATTTGACACTTCCAAATTTTCAACGAGAAATTAAAAATTGGTCAATGAATATTGGTGAAGATAAATGGTTGTGAATACTTCCAAACATTACCTATCCAAAAAAAGCCACTGTGTTTGACCATCAATTTCAACTCGAATTATATTTTTATCCTTTTCAATCCAACGACCAGCCGTATAATCATATGCAACATATTTGAATGTAACGAATGTTGTCGGTTGCTCTAACTTCATTGCAACGTATGATTTATTTTGGTATGGTATGAAACTTATCTTAAAAGTAAATTTTACAGTGTAAAATATATTAACAAAAAAAACTTCAAAACTTATCTCATCTTAAAAATAAATTAATTGTAAATAAATCAAACATGAATTTCACCATTTTCGAAATTTTAGTGCTAATTTATTTGAATGACGAAACCTTTTAATAATTTAAGTTCAATAATGAATTAAAATTTATTTTTAATTTATTTAAGAAAAAAAATTCTATCTTCACCAAGTACTCCTAAAAAATGTTAGCTCAATGCCAAAATGAAAATTAAAAGTTGACTTTACCTCGCAGCATAACTTAGACTGACTACCAGGTAAACATCCGGTATCTGCTTGATTTGGATGAAAAGTTCGAAAGCAATTTTCTTGTAATGACTGCAAAAATGCTTAAATTCACAAATTTTTGGTAGTATAATTGATAAGATTGAATTGTTTTATCATAAAACTTCAACAAACAATCATCAGCCCGTTATAAATATTTTATCTCGGATGAAATTTAAAAATCAGATAATCTAACAGAAAATTTACTAACTAACAGGAAACATATGATAATAACATTGAATAATTCTGATCTATTCATCAACCATATCCCACTTTTGTAACCGATCGAATCTATTCCATCCACTTACGAATACTATTCGTTTTTTAAGTAATCCATTTTTTATCATCTAAGAATATCTGTTTCTTATCATCTCTAAGATAATCTGTTCGTAACTATTCGTGGTACAGTAAACTTTGACAT